CCCAGTGGCACAGTGGTTAAGTGTGCATGTTCGGCTTTGGTGACCCAGGGTTTGCCGGTTCAGATCCCAGGTGTGGACATGGCACCACTTGGCAAGCCATGCTGTGGTAGGCATCCTACACATAAAGTAGAGGAAGATGGGCACGGGTGTTAGCTCAGGGCCAGTCTTCCTCAGCAAAAAAGAGGAGGACTGGCAGCAGATGTTAGCTCAGGGCTAATCTTCCTAAAGAGAAAAAAAAAACAAAGAAAGAAAGAAAACAGGGCGGTCAGAAGGAGAATGTCCCAGGGGCCTCTTCCATGAACGAACCCACAATCCTCTTGAGAGCTGGTTCCCTCAACCATAAAATCAGATAATGACACCTGCCATCTCTACCAGTTATTGTGAAGATCAGAGGAGATGAGGTCACAGCACTTTACAGCTGGCAGAAGCCATCTCATGCCCTCTGGGTAAAGGGGCGGCTGGGCCAGAGAAGAGAGGTGTCCAGCCCAACGTCACCTGGCACGTCAGGGCCAAAGCGGTGGCTACAGTACCATCTGCTCCCTCCAGTCCAAGTGTCTGATGATGGATACGACAGTTGTTTGATAACTGCAAAAGTGATAATGATGCTCGTTGAACTCAGGCAATCATCCTAAGTGGCCAAGATTTTATGACCCCCCAATGAACAGCTGTGCTTTGAACAAGAGCGCTCAGAAATCACCCATCTGAGAGCTTCCTCCTCCGCTCCCAGGTCCCAGACTTCCACCCTCCCACTCTATCCTAGACTGGACAGCATTTCCCACTCTTTGGATGTGAGGGCCCAGCCCTCGCTGGCACACCACACAGACCCCCAGGGCACACTGTGGGAAGTGGAGCACAGGAGGGCAGGGAAGCCCAAAGTGAAAGAAGGGCTGGGTGTTGGTGCAAAAACAGAGGGGAAAGCACCTCCCGGACCACTAAAATGACCATCACTGCCTATGGGCAGGCCTCCCATGAACGAAAACCCACTGAATCTTCTCAAGAACTCCGTGAATCCCCATTTTACAGAAGAGGAAACCAAGACACGCTGTGGTTAAGTAACTTGTCGCAATTCTCACAGCTAAGACCTACTTGAGCCAAGATTTGACCCTGGGCTTGAGGATGCCAAGAGACCCTGAACTTTACCGTCACAATCGGGTGACGCTAAAGTTCCAGCGAGATGCCCATCGCCGACGTTGTGTCATCTGGCAAAAACAGAGCTAAAGGAGGTGGCGAAAGCCTGGTCCCACCCCCAGCTCGGCTATTAATGTTCTGACTAAACCAACCAGGCATTGAGACTGTCTCTGGATCTTAGCTTGCAGTCAAGTGGGGCAGGTGGGGGTAGCAGTGGGTGAATCTAAGAGCGCCTTCAACTCCAATGTGAAAAATCTTCCTGTTAAATCAAGAGTTTTCCCAACACCATGATGTGGTCCTCTGCTTAGGTCAGCAGAGAGAAAACGGAGAGGAAGTCTGAGGCTTCCAAACTGGAGAAAAGTCGTTTTGCCAAATATTTTCAAAGATGAAGAGAACTCGTCAAAAACAATGGAGGCATTTTCCTTCGTTTCCAAAGGAAATGATTCAACTTAAGCAAAGGTCACTAATGAAAGAGTTGAGTTCGTTCACGTTACAAACATCAGCGATTCCGCAATCTTCTCGGCCAGCTGGAGAGAGGGCCTGGGCTTCTGCTCTGTGTGTGTGTGCGCGTGTGAGTGCACACGTGTGTGTGTGTGTGTTCCTTCTTCAGGCTTCTTCTCAAAACTACCTTTCTTTTTAAGACGATGGTTTTCAAATCTGGTTGCATTAGAATCACCTAGAAAACTTTAAAAAGATAGCCAATGACTGGCCCTCCTTCCAGGCAACTGAATGGAGATCACACTTCAAGGTCTAGGCATCAGGATTGTTTGCAAACAGAAGTCTGCCCCAGCAGCTCTCATGAGCCGTCAGGGTCGGAGACCCAGTGACTCTCACATTTTAGCCCTCGGCATAACCTGGAAAGCATGTTACAGACTGATGGCTCCGGTCTCTTATTCTGTAGGTCTGGGGCGGGGTCTGGGGTGGGGCTCAATAACTCACGTTTCTAACAAGTTCACAGGGAATGATGCTGCCAGCCTCAACCCGCTCTGAGAACCGCTGTTGTAAACCGCGTCTGGCGTTCTAGAGCCTCTTGCGTTCGGTGGAGCAGAGGTGCTCAGCCCTGGCTGCACGTTGGAGTCCTTCAGGGACATCCCGATGCGCCAGCAGCACCTCAAACCACCTGGATCATGACCTCTTGGGGTGGGACAAGTCTTTTTCAAAGCTCCTCGGGGAATTTGGACATTCTGCTAGGCAGAGATCCACTGCCATCGACACACACGCAGGCACATGAGCTCACACTCACAATCACGAGCGAGACTGGAAACGCTTATTCCTATTTCACATGGAGGAAAGTGAGGATCAGAAGGACTGAGGCCAGGCAGCTGGAAGGCAGAGAGGCTGGGATTTGAATCCAGACCCCCGACTCCTCGTCCCACGCTCTTTCTTTCTACACTACACACAGCCTGTCTCACACCTGCCAACTTGGAGCAGCCTGAGACCCAGAACAAGCAAGGTGATCGGTGTGGGACTGAGATGGGAGCCAGCATAAGGAGACAGGGCCATTAGCAAGGCGCTCGGCCTAACAAGATTGGCCCTAACCCATCGGCAGGCTGGGAGAATCAGACAGAGGCCGCCAAGAACCACGTTCCGCAGTCTCTGGACTCTCCCGGGCTCAAGCATGTGCCCAAGCACCCAGGAGTTCACTGAAGGTGACCCTGGCCCCATCAGCATAGTAAGATGATACCCGGGGTGGAGAGCCAGCGTGCTCATGAACCACGCGTCATGTGTAGTAGTAGCTATGTGACAGCGCAGCCGCCAGCACAGCCCCCCTACCTGCTGCGATGAAAGACACAGCCCCTGCCCTAGCCTGATAAAAACCCCGCAGTATGGCTATTCCGAGAACCACTCGCCTCTCTCTCTCTCTCTTCTTCCCTTTCCATGATTGGCTACCTTATGCACAAGCTAATAAAATTTCTATCTTCTCACTCTTGCTCGTTATCTCTCAATTTCTATCCTGGGGGACGACAAGGACCCAATGCACTAGTAACAGGGTGATGGTTCTGGTCACAGGAAAGCAAAGAAGGGGAGCAGAGTATGCCATCGTGAAGTATGCCTCTTTGGCATAAGGATTATCCTGACCCCATCGTTTTTAAGAAACCACAGACACTGGAAAATCTCGGAAACCGGGGTACAATTTGTCTTTTTGTGAAGGAAATGTACGGTTATAAGGAAATCTCCATTTGTAAGGGTGTCTCCCTCTCTACTCCAGGAGGAGAAGCATGACTCTCAATCTCCAGAATTTCTTTATCCCTGGGGAAGGCACGGACTTAAATGTCCACAACCACCTTACCCTTGTTACTGGGCAGTGGCTTACACACCTGACTGCACGTCGCCTCACCTGAAGTGCCACTAAGGCCTGAGTCCACTGAATTATTATTATGACTTTATTGGTTTGGGGTGTGACCTGGGAACCAGGACTTCCAAAAATTTCCCCTTAAAAAATATCTCTTTTAGGGGCTGGCCCCGTGGCCAAGCGGTTAAGTTTGCGCACTCCACTTTGGCGGCCCAGGGTTTCGCTGGTTCAGATCCTGGGTGCAGACGTGGCACCGCTCATCAGGCCATGTTGAGGCAGCATCCCACATGCCACAACTAGAAGGACCCACAACTAAAAATATACACAACTATGTACCTGGGGGCTTTGGGGAGAAAAAGGAAAAATAAGATCTTTAAAAAAAAATCTCTTTCATATATATGTATATTTCATACACATATACACACACATACATGCATTTAATACAATAGGATCATACTAATGTACATACAATTTATTTTTGAATTTGAATGTTTTTACTTTATTAAGTAAGATTATTCTACAGTTTTATATGCCAGTAGGTACTCACTGACAGGATTATTTTAATCTGCTATTTAGACATTTTAAATGTATTATTACATTTAGTCTAAACTGTACATTTAGTACATTTTATATGTATCTTAGATATTTAAATATCTAAAGAGTATTTCATATTGTGAATTTACAATAGTTTATTTAACGTCATTCTATTGTTAGATACACAGGTTCTTTAACTTTTTCACTATCATAAATAACACTCTAATAAACAATTCATTACATAATTTACTTTGTGCCCATCAATAATTATTTCCTGAGAATCATTGGTTATCATCACATTGAACTTTGTCAACATGGGGAGAAGATGGCATTTCAATATCGTGACTTTCAGTTCCTTTTTAAACAACCATTTAGTGGTGGAGCTGAGCATTCGCATACACTCACGGCTGTATTATGTTTTGTTTCAGCAACTTGTGGTCTTTTCTCTGAAGCGTCTCTGAGTCCTTTGTCCTCTGCATCCAGAGCGGAAGCTGGTTTTATGGACATTCCCTGCTCCTGACGAAGATGTTTGCTCTGGTCTTTTTTCAGAGGCTGACGGCCGCGTTTTGGATTGACGTTCTAGGCCTTCTTCGACAGCACCTTGACGTACCTTCGGACCTGGCATTGAAACCGGCAGGGAGTTAGTCATCGATGACTAAGTAGCCAGGAACTAAAAGTTTTTCCTTTTTGCAATTACTGACTATAGCTTTTAGCTGTTTAACCCACCCATTGTTAACTGTGCTGTTTAGGCAATATGCAGTCTGACTCCCACTAGGCTCCTATAGATAAGATTTCCCTGGAGCCTGGGTCACCACGACAATGGGTGTGTGAGCTGTTTTTCAGGAATTAGAACCCCTTGTCCACTTCAGGCTGGCTGAGATCACCAACCCAGCAAGTGGGCCCACACAGATGTTGGATAGACTTCAAGAGGCTAAAAACTCCACCTTCAGATCATGCTAATGCTGCCATTCTGTGAACATGGGTCCTGTGAAGAGGCATGAAGTCTGACTACACTTGCGCAGACCATCAATGACCTCACCTCCAATCACCCATCTCCACATTTCAGACCATCTTGCCCCCATCCCATAAATACCCCTGGGTCCCTATTTTCAGGGAAGCGGATTTGAGGTTCATGCTCCTGCTTCCTCACGTGGCTGCCCTGTGATTAAACCCTCTCTCTGCTGCAATCTCATCATCTCAGTGTTTGGCTTTCAGGGCAGCGGGCAAAGACGAACCTGGTGTGGTAACAGCATTCCACTGGTGGGCTGCTTTTGGGAGCGCCCGAAGACGCTGGAAGCTGGAGCCCACTGCAACACTGGAGCGACTCAGACAGGAACAGGAAAAACAGAAAGGAGGTCCTTCCTCCCCTCCTCCCCCTCTTCAATTTCTCTCTAATGCCTCCTTTTGGCAAAACCTAAAAGGATCTGGCAAGGGATGTGGGAAATGTAGTTTGCAGAGTCCCCACCCCAGCTCCGTTAGGCAGCAAATATTAGGGTGGATCCACGAGCAGCATATAGAAGGGTGAGACAAAAGGGCACAGGCCCCTTGGGAAATGACTCACCTGGGTTTTATCTCCGGTCCCTCTCTCTGTGCTCATGACCCTCTGTGTTCCCCTCACGAGAATCATTCATTCCTCGTGCTTCTGGGCTCCCCTGGGTACGATCTGCCTCATGGTCACTGGGATGCTCTTGTCATAAGTGGCCCACTCACACGCGCTCTCTCACAGCCTATTCACCTCCTGGTTTTGGAAGAAGATTCTATCAAGCCCCGCCAACTTGCCAGTAACTCCAGATGGCAAAATGACCTGCGCCAAACGGGAAGTGAAACGTTATTCCCGCCATACCTACAGGATACAATGAGACTGAACTTGCCCTTTGGAGAATCCTCATATAATAACTTCCTGACTTCCTGTCACCAGAATGTCATGTCGCACACAGCTATGGCTTCCCTCGTCCCGCTGAGCCTTTGTATTATGGTCATTCTAGCCACAGGATACGGCCACCCTGTAGCCAAGAGCAGTAGGAATGTGCTGACCAGCCTTGGGTTCATCTGGAGGGGAGATGCTCATCTGGTTCTCCTCCAGGACGTGCGCTGGGTTTGCTCCTTCAGGAAGGAGACTGAGGTCATAAACCCAGTGGCTTTCCAGTCCACCTGCTTCTCACGTGCGCCAATTCCATCTTTCCTACTCCTCATTCTGTCCCGCTCCCCCCCGCTCTGTGTTGCAGCAGACCGCCCTGGAGATCCAGAAACCAGAGATGCCAGGGAGCGGGTGGCGCCACTCAGAGCACCACAGCCAGCTTCACACGTAGATCTCTGGGGGAGTTCACCAGATGAGCAGTCTGGGAACCGACTCCAGTATCTGAAAAGTCTCCGCAAGGACACAGCTTCCCACCAGCAGAAGTGGAGAGACCCCAGTCCTGCCACATCCATGAGGGAGACCCAAGGAAAAGGTAACAGAGACTTCACTCGGTGACCTTGTGCCTCCTTCCCTGCCCTTGCACGTCCTCTTCTCCCCTCGCCCCTGGGAATCATCTCGCAGCCTGCCTTCTCAACCCTCCTACTCTGTATTGCTCATTCACTGTTGTTGACCCTTCGCTTCAGATTCCTTTCCTGTCTTTTGCTTTCTCCTTGAGACTCAACCTTGCATCTTCCCCCACTTCCATGCCTGCCTCACCCGGGACTAGCTCACCAAGACCCGTTCAGCTACACTAGAATCTCCCCTCTGGAACCCTCACCTCCGTTCACTGGGGCCACTCTGACCTGCAGAGCGACCTCTTCCTCAAGTGCTTTCATTCATTCCCTTTCCGCAGATTTGCCCTGCTTGACTCACACAGGGGTGTTCTCTGACTGTTCAAGGCCCTGCCGGAGGAGCTGGAGGGGTGGTTTTGAAGGAGGAGGATTTGTCTGGGCAGGAGAGAGCTCCATTTTTCACCATGATCTGTCTTCCCTCCCCCCAGCAGGAAGTGATGGGAACAGCAGGAAACACCACAGCAGAGCCATGACCCCCCAGCCCGCCCATCCACCACCCGTCTCAGCAGCCAGCCAAGGGCTCTTGTAGGCGGCTATGACGAGCAAAAGCTGAGGTTCCAGGGCACCAGGGGCCTCGTTTCAGCACTGAGACCCTCTGCCCAGAAGACGTGTTCTTCTTCCAGACTGCCAAGCACCTGCAGGAGCCGTTACCGTCAACAGACACTCATTGGTCCTTTGGTTTTTCTCTGATGCCTCCACTGGAAGCGGCCAGGTAGACTCTGCTCTGGGTTTGTTATGAAAACAGTTGTAGAAACCTCCACGCAACAAATTCCATTCAGAATTCAGTGCCAGAGAAAGTCTGTTCTTGCCTCAAGAAGGTGTGCTTCTGCTCTGTTAATAAAAAGAAGGATGAGATACCCGTCTTTGCTCTCCCTGGGGTAGACTGAACCGGGAGTAATGACAGAATGGGAGGGACTCCAGCACCAGCTTCACGGTCTATTCAGAGTCCCCGGGCAGGGTCTCCTTCTGTGCTTGTGAACAGAGCCCCCCATCACCATCACTGCCTCTTCCGTTGAGGTTGGCTCCAGGCTCTGTGCAGGACAAATGATTACGGGGAATACTAAAGCACAAAGAACCTCGGCATCAGCAGGGTGTGAAAAGGGGAGGAGAGAGGCTCCCATTATCGGTGCTCCCTGTTTGTTGGCTTAGCCATTAACCAAACAAACCACGCATGAGTGCGTGAGCGAACCGAAGAACGGACACATGAGTCTGTATCGGTAAGGCCAATTTTCTCCAAGCTTACGCTCTGCCTGGGGTGGAATGACATACTTCCTGCCCCGGTTTAGCCACCTCAGGCCACCCAAGGCTCCACCATGCGCTCAACGCTGGTCGTTTAGGCCCTTGGCCCCATTGCCCCTCCTCCATGCTCTGTCCTGTGTGGCAGGAGGCTGGGACGTTGCCCACTGCGCTTAGATTCTGCTCGCTGGTTTGATTCTGTCCTGGGGGCCATGGCGGGTTATTGAAAGGCAGGCAGGAAGGGAAGTCCTTCCTAGTCTTTGTTCCTGCAGCCGTAGTGGGGAGGGGGTACTCCTGGGTCCCTGCTGGGGCTGCGGCCATACTGGCAGTGGGCGTGTCAGCAGTGTCTACAGCAAGGTCATATGGCAGGCAGTTTTCCAGAGCTGCGACACCATCTCGTATTCCCTCCAGTAATACATGAAGGTTCTAATTTTCTCTGTGGCTACAGTTTGACAGCGACTTGACTTACGGGTACCTAACGTGCCCTGAATGTGAGATATTTTCATTGAAAGCCCAAGACCAGAATCAGCACTGAGACGAGGTCCTGAGGATCTCGCCTCCAGGGCATGCGGCCCTGGAGGTCCGTTTCTCTGGCCTCCACACAAACTGTGGGAAGGTAAATGGCCACGCTCATTTCCACGTGCAATTTCCAATTATGAAATGTCAGCTTACAGAACGTCCTTGGGGAGGACGTTTATAATAAACATTGGCTGGTTTTTATTTTGTCCTTTGAGCATTTAAACTCTTCCTATATTTGGAGAACACTGTCCCCTAGGAGGTGGAATCTGAAAATGCCACCCCTTGCTTCCCCAGGACCCCTGGAATCGCCCAGTGATGTGGACTTGGAGGAGGAGCCGGTGCTGTGCAGGGTCCACGCTTCCGACGGGAGGCAGCAGGCTCCGGGAGCACCGTCAGGAATGGCTCTGATTGCTTTCCATGTGGCCGTGTTTTCCTGTCTTCCACGCTGGGTACACTCACACTAGACACGAGGTTTCAAATCAGAAGCTTGCTGGTGGAAGTTGGATGGCACATGTGTTGGCATAGCCTGCGTGGTTGTGGAAAGACTGGGAGGTTTCACTAAAAAAAAAAAATCCAGATTTTCAGCTCATCTGACAAGTCAGCAGCCCTGGCAGCCCTGGGCCGGCGTTCCACACATGGCACCACTTGGTTGGAGCCAGTAGCGCCAAGGGGTGTGGTCTGAACAGGTGTGAACTCTTCAGGGGGCCAACTGCCTTACCTCCCTGCTCCTCTTCACTCATTTGCTTCCCCTGTCCAGCCCCGAGGAGACGACTAAGGTGGCGGGAAGTCCCAGGGCTCCTTCCCGGCTCTTGGTGCAGCACTGCCCGGCCTCGGGGTGAACTGCCACCAGGCACTGCCCTGGGGTCTTCATTGCGCTGTCTTTCTTTAGAACAGTGGTCCCCAAATTTGGCCAGACATTAGAATCACCTGTGCATTCTTTTTTGTTTTTTTAAATTCCAAAGCCCAGCCACACCTCAAACCCATTAAACCACAATCTCTGGGGGGGGGGGGGGACACCCGCAGTTGGGTGCTGGTCGATGCTTAACAACAGGCTCTCTGCGGGGGGAATGGGGGGAGCCCCGATCGGTAGCATTTGCTGATTTCTGTGATGTGACTATTCCCATCAGGGTTGATTTCGCCACCGAGCTTTCACTGAATTCAGAGTTGGGAAGAGATGCTCAGTAGCAAAACATTACATACTATTTTCACCATGCAGAGAAAAACAGACATAATCTTCAGAATATAGATAATAGCTAAATATAGTAAGATAATTTGTAGGTGATGAGTTTTAGAATATTTATTTCCTTTATTTTTAATGGAATTTATTTAACTGTATGTTTATATATAATTTAATTTTAAATAACAGCTACGTTAAATATTTGGCTCAACAAATTTTCTGAAATTTTAAAAATCAGCTCCTGTGAGCTGGGGCAAGCTGGCTCCAGCCCATTATGGGGACAACCATCAGTGTTTTCTTAAAGTTCCCAGTTGATCCCAAAGTGTATATAAATTGGGGATCTGCTGCTTTAGAACAGTGGTCCTCAAACTTGAACATGCATCAGGGTCACCCGGAGGCCCCAGTACAATGCCAGTTGCTGTCCCCCCACCCCGCCCCAGTTTCTGACTCATTAGGTCCAGCTTAGGGTGGGACCCAAGAACTCATCCCTCTGTCAAGCCCCAGGAGATGCTAATGCTGCTGTCCAGGGACCACATTGTGATTAAAAATATACCCGCCTCAGTCCCTGGTGAACTTCCTTCCTCAGGATGGTCCAGGCTTGGTTGAAGTCAGTCTGTGCTAACCCATTCCAACAGGGAGCAAATCCCACCCAGAGGACGGACGCCTGGGGGCAGTGCTCTGATCTCGCAGACACCCCGGGAGCTTCTGCATCCCCTGCAACAGTCTGTGCATCCTCACAGCCCCCTCCCTGGTCACACATGTGCCCCTTACTCTCCCAGGGCCAAGGGTAAGTGGGTGGGGGTGGGGAGCAAGCAGCAAAGCTACTGCCCTGAGGCCACTGCCATCTCCCTGGGGGCGGTCTCATGTGCGTGACCTCTGTCACCATGGAGACGGACGTGCTAGTGGGCTGGGATCCGGAGGAGTGAGGACCGGGGTGAGACAAAGGTCAATGGCATCCTTAGCCCTTCATGTCCACAGGCTAAGGGAAGGCAGGCATTTGTCTTGGCCCATTAAGAGATGTAAGGAAAGCTCATCATAATTTCTGCTACTTTAGGTAAGAAGAGGAATAGGAGGGTTCATCAGGTTAGAAATAGGCAAAATGATGCTGGACATGTTGCTGCCCAAGGTGGGGTCCTCTGCCCACCCGCAAGACATGCCATAGCCAGGAGGCAAGGTGGTAGGAGAGAAAGGGTTTTATTACAGCATGCTGGCAAGGGGAAGATGGCTGACTCATGTCCAAAAGAACCATCTTACAGAACAAAGACTACAGGCCAGTTATATACCTGGCTGGTCTCCAGGTGGGGGAGGCATCTTGTCTCTGGGTGGAGGCAGACATCTGGACCCAGTTCATGATAGTCCTTTGTTTCACTGGATATGCAACAGAGAAAGGAGCAATGCCCTATACCCTGATATTTCAGTTGTCATTGATGATGGCCATCAGCATAGGCTCTCTTCCCTGGGGGTCATCACATTCCTAAAGAACTCAAAAGAACAAACTTATCATCTTATTGCAGCTGGGAGGGGCCACAAAATCTACAGAGCATGTCTGGGCTAGTTAATCAGAGGTCATTCAGAGTTAGACTATGGTTTCTTTTCTTCAATATGGCTTCCCTTATGTCAACCTTGGGTTGAGCTGGTATCAGACATATTCTTTAAGGGCTAATGGAACTGTGAGCTCCCTGCAGACGGGGGGCTCTTTATTTCTTCTCCGTCCACAGCATCCACACCCAGGGCTCACATAGAGCGGAGCAGGATCTCAATAAATGCTTGTCTGCGGAGTGAGCGACACAGGCCATTGCATCTCAGAGTGGATGGAGCCTTCCCTCTGGGTTTTGGGTTCCTCACATTCGTAGCTGATCTGAGGAGGCAGGGGCTGGTGGCAGATTCTGTGTTTTCTCGGAAAACTTCTTAAACTTCATAAGACTCAGTTTTCTCTTCTGTAAAACAGAGATGGTGTAACGGTGTCTGTTGTGTAGGACTGATTGAGGCTTGAGCGACTGATTCATCAAAAAGTAGCACAGAGCCTGGCAGGTGACAAAAGTTCACCGTGGTGACACGGTGAGCTGGGAAACAAAGATGGACCACCCTCTGCCACCTCCCCCAGTGCTTCTGAAGCATCTGGGGAGCCGGCTATGAGGACAGAGGCGTCCAGCCTCGCAAGGACCCCTGTGTGCTGGGCACCACCCGCTTCACACCCTACAGCAAATTTAGGAGCCACATGTAAAAAAGAAAACCAAAGAGATCCTAAGGGAAAACTAATTTTAAAAATGTTTTAGGGCCGGCCCTGTGGCCGAGTGGTTAAGTTCGTGTGCTCCGCTTCAATGGCCCAGGGTTTCGCCAGTTTGGATCCTGGGCGTGGACATGGCACTGCACATCAGACCATGCTGAGGCAGCGTCCCACATGCCACAACTAGAAGGACCCACAACTATGAATATACAGCTATGTACCTGGGGGCTTTTGGGGAGAAAAAGGAAAAAAATAAAATCTTTAAAAAAGAAAAAAAATGATTTGGTATTCATGTAGACAACTCTTTTCTAAGCATGTGAGCATAGTCAGAAAGCATAAAGAAAAACATATAACGACTTCATAAATATTTTTATTTACATTGAGTCAAATGGTTCGTAATAACACATAGGAGACATCAATAAATATCGGTGGAAAGAGTGAACGAATAATAAAATTAAAAGGTAAATTAAACACTGGGAAAATATTTGCAACTTTATGACAAAAGATTACAGGATTAAAATTCTTAACATATAAAGGATTCTCATGAACTAATATGAGAAAAAATGAACACCCACAGACAGACGGGCAAAAGCTGTGAACAGAGAATTCACAAATAGGGAAAGAAATGGCCAATAAACATAAAGAGCAGTTCAGTTTCCTTATCAAAGAAATCTAAGTTGAAGCCCCTAAGAAAAGACATTTTTGCTCATCTCAATAAGCAGGATTAAAAATGTGCCAGCTGCAAGTAAGGATGCAAGGAAATAGTGACCTTCATGCTCTACCACCAGGAGTGAAAAGAGGTGCAGCTTTCCCCCTTCATTAAAATATAATTCACAGACCCCCAAACTCACCCTTTTAAAGTACACAACTTCATGGGTTTTAGTAGATTCACAAAGCTGTGCAGCCGTCTCTACTATCTAATTCCAAAACATTTTCATCATTCAAAAAAAACGTCTCCAGCATCCAGAGCAAGGCAGTGTCACTCTCCATTTCCCCCTCCCCCAGCTCCTGGCGACCACCAATCTACTTTCTTTCTCTACAGATTTGCCTATTCTGGATATTGCATATATTTGGAACCAACAAGATGTGGCCTTTTGTTTCTGGCCTCTTTCATTTAGAATAATGTTTTCAAGGTTAATCCACGTTGTAGCTTGTATCAATGCTTCATTCCTTTTTACGGCTGAACAATATTCCACCATGTGGATATACCCCTTTTTGTTTTCCATTCCTGAGTTGATGGACATCTCAGTCGTTCC